ATCCAGGCCGTCTCCTCCATTGTTGCCGGGGCCGCACACCACCAGCACCGAGGGCAGGTCGGAGGTGAAGGAGCTCGCCGGGTACGCCTGGGGGGAGAGAGAGAGCCGGGGATTGGATCAGACACATCATAATATGAAGGGTCGGTCTTCTCTGAGAGCCGAATGTGATACGTTGTATATTGTGCTAGGGCCGGGCGCTGCTGACATCGGAGCACCTCCTGCGTCCCGATATCAGAGCACTTCCTGCACCTGGGCGCTCCTGATATCAGAGCACTTCCTGCGCCTGGGCGCTCCTGATATCAGAGCACTTCCTGCGCCTGGGCGCTCCTGATATCAGAGGACTTCCTGTGTCCTGATATTAGTTAACTTCCTGTGCCTAGGCACTCCCAATATCAGAGCACTTCCTGTGCCCAGGCGCTACTGATATCAGAGCACTTCCTGCGCCCGGGCGCTCCCAATATAAGAGCACTTCCTGCGCCCGGGCGCTCCCAATATAAGAGCACTTCCTGCGCCCGGGCGCTCCCAATATCAGAGCACTTCCGGTGCCCAGGCGCTCCCGATATCAGAGCACTTCCGGTGCCCAGGCGCTCCCGATATCAGAGCACTTCCTGATAGACTGACAGCCCCGGGCATGACTCCCAGTGGCTGGGGGATGATGGGATTTGTGTGATATGAGGAGACATGCAGTGGGGTCTCAGAGCCGTGTTGTCACCGTCTTGTAGGGTTACCTTGGCGATTGCGGTGGCGCAGCTCAGTCCGGCCAATTCCATCAACTGATCTACACTGAACCTGTACTCATTGAAGAGCTCCTCGTCCACCGCCTGCGCCTCCGCCTGGCTAACGAAGGAGAGTGCAGCTCAGAATATGATCAACTTGGAGCCCATCGCCGCTCATGTCAACATCATAATAAAAATACATTTTTATATAAAATACTATATTTATTATCGCTGCAAATACCGGTACTGAATAAAGTCGATATAATGACGTTATGATATTGCAATCTGCAGTGTTAACTGTCCCATTTCCTGTATGACAAGAGGGCAGCACATACACTATATTGTCCTGTACCTGACCTCACAAATGGTCCAACATCCCCATAGACACACCCCTAAACCTTGTGGACGCCTTCCCAGAAGAGGTGGAGCTGTTATAGCGGCAAAGGGCGGAGCCAACCCAATACTGAACCCTACGGACTAAGACTGGGGCGCCATTAGAGTTCATGCGTGTGTAAAGGCGTCCCAATACTTTTGGCAATATAGTGCGTGTTGGTGTAGAACACAAAGGCCGCAGCCATGTATTTCCTGTTACAAAAGTGCCCTCCCGATCTTCCTCACCTTCTATATTGGAACTGTCCCCGCTCAAGTTCTCTGCGTTCTATAGTCCCGCGCTCTGCGTTCTATACTACCGCGCTCTGCGTTCTATAGTCCCGCGCTCTGCGTTCTATACTACCGCGCTCTGCGTTCTATACTACCGCGCTCTGCGTTCTATACTCCCGCGCTCTGCGTTCTATACTACCGCGCTCTGCGTTCTATACTACCGCGCTCTGCGTTCTATACTACCGCGCTCTGCGTTCTATAGTCCCGCGCTCTGCGTTCTATACTACCGCGCTCTGCGTTCTATACTACCGCGCTCTGCGTTCTATACTACCGCGCTCTGCGTTCTATACTACCGCGCTCTGCGTTCTATACTACCGCGCTCTGCGTTCTATACTACCGCGCTCTGCGTTCTATACTACCGCTCTCTGCGTTCTATACTACCGCGCTCTGCGTTCTATACTACCGCGCTCTGCGTTCTATACTACCGCGCTCTGCGTTCTATACTACCGCGCTCTGCGTTCTATACTACCGCGCTCTGCGTTCTATACTACCGCGCTCTGCGTTCTATACTACCGCGCTCTGCGTTCTATACTACCGCGCTCTGCGTTCTATACTACCGCGCTCTGCGTTCTATACTACCGCGCTCTGCGTTCTATACTACCGCTCTCTGCGTTCTATACTACCGCGCTCTGCGTTCTATACTACCGCGCTCTGCGTTCTATACTACCGCGCTCTGCGTTCTATACTACCGCGCTCTGCGTTCTATACTACCGCGCTCTGCGTTCTATACTACCGCTCTCTGCGTTCTATACTACCGCGCTCTGCGTTCTATACTACCGCGCTCTGCGTTCTATACTACCGCGCTCTGCGTTCTATACTACCGCGCTCTGCGTTCTATACTACCGCGCTCTGCGTTCTATACTACCGCGCTCTGCGTTCTATACTACCGCGCTCTGCGTTCTATACTACCGCGCTCTGCGTTCTATACTACCGCGCTCTGCGTTCTATACTACCGCGCTCTGCGTTCTATACTACCGCGCTCTGCGTTCTATACTACCGCGCTCTGCGTTCTATACTACCGCGCTCTGCGTTCTATACTACCGCGCTCTGCGTTCTATACTACCGCGCTCTGCGTTCTATACTACCGCGCTCTGCGTTCTATACTACCGCGCTCTGCGTTCTATACTACCGCGCTCTGCGTTCTATACTACCGCGCTCTGCGTTCTATACTACCGCGCTCTGCGTTCTATACTACCGCGCTCTGCGTTCTATACTACCGCGCTCTGCGTTCTATACTACCGCGCTCTGCGTTCTATACTACCGCGCTCTGCGTTCTATACTACCGCGCTCTGCGTTCTATACTACCGCGCTCTGCGTTCTATACTACCGCGCTCTGCGTTCTATACTACCGCGCTCTGCGTTCTATACTACCGCGCTCTGCGTTCTATACTACCGCGCTCTGCGTTCTATACTACCGCGCTCTGCGTTCTATACTACCGCGCTCTGCGTTCTATACTACCGCGCTCTGCGTTCTATACTACCGCGCTCTGCGTTCTATACTACCGCGCTCTGCGTTCTATACTACCGCGCTCTGCGTTCTATACTACCGCGCTCTGCGTTCTATACTACCGCGCTCTGCGTTCTATACTACCGCGCTCTGCGTTCTATACTACCGCGCTCTGCGTTCTATACTACCGCGCTCTGCGTTCTATACTACCGCGCTCTGCGTTCTATACTACCGCGCTCTGCGTTCTATACTACCGCGCTCTGCGTTCTATACTACCGCGCTCTGCGTTCTATACTACCGCGCTCTGCGTTCTATACTACCGCGCTCTGCGTTCTATACTACCGCGCTCTGCGTTCTATACTACCGCGCTCTGCGTTCTATACTACCGCGCTCTGCGTTCTATACTACCGCGCTCTGCGTTCTATACTACCGCGCTCTGCGTTCTATACTACCGCGCTCTGCGTTCTATACTACCGCGCTCTGCGTTCTATACTACCGCGCTCTGCGTTCTATACTACCGCGCTCTGCGTTCTATACTACCGCGCTCTGCGTTCTATACTACCGCGCTCTGCGTTCTATACTACCGCGCTCTGCGTTCTATACTACCGCGCTCTGCGTTCTATACTACCGCGCTCTGCGTTCTATACTACCGCGCTCTGCGTTCTATACTACCGCGCTCTGCGTTCTATACTACCGCGCTCTGCGTTCTATACTACCGCGCTCTGCGTTCTATACTACCGCGCTCTGCGTTCTATACTACCGCGCTCTGCGTTCTATACTACCGCGCTCTGCGTTCTATAGTCCCGCGCTCTGCGTTCTATACTACCGCGCTCTGCGTTCTATACTACCGCGCTCTGCGTTCTATACTACCGCGCTCTGCGTTCTATACTACCGCGCTCTGCGTTCTATACTACCGCTCTCTGCGTTCTATACTACCGTGCTCTGCGTTCTATACTACGGCTGAAGGACAGATGTGGGGGTGTGGCTATAAATGGGGGTCCAGTGGGTACAGAGGCCGGTCATTGCGCCCCACGTGTTATATATCGGCGCGCACAGCCGAGCGCCACCAGTCACTGATAACCATTAAAATGCCATAAATATCTTTTATTTTATTTTATATACAAATAAAACATTTACAAAGTCTTTGGTACCGATCCGCGCGTGGCCGCGTTCAGAGGTCGTGTCACCGGGAACACGCCGCAGGTGCAATGTGACAAACACTCCCATCATCCCTTGCAGACTGGGCAGGAAGTTTACATCACTCCTTTCTGTCTCTGAGGAAGCAGCGGTCTCTCTGAGCAGAGCGGGCTGTATGACGCGGGGTGATGAAGATGGCCGACCAGCCCTGCGTCCGTCCTCCGCATGAAGCTGCGCGGCGCCGTTGTCCGCGGAGGAGCTGCCATCCCAGTCACCGGCCTCCGGGACGTCACATGACGTGACACATTCGGGACTGAAACCTCGATCTTCTGGAGGGTTCCCGACAGTCCCCCCGGGGTACGTGAAGGCAGCCCGGCGGCTCGCTCCCCCTCCTGAAAAAAAAGGATATTTCATACGTCACGATGAAAAACTCCTCAACCCGACGCGTTTTGCGGGGGGGGGCTGTATGACTCCGCCCCCCTTCTTCAGGGCCGGGAATCAAATCAATACTGTATCCAAGCAACATCGGCTTTCTATTGGAGATATTTTTATTGACATTGATCTGATCAGATATCGATTATG